GGGTTCCAGTACCCGTAGTCTGCTACAATTTCTGACTGAACCTTGAAACGACTTTGATCTCCCTTCACCTCAGATTCATGGATGCCATGAGGGGTTGTCAAGGGTGCCGCTGATAATGGCGACAACAAACGTGATCCTGCAGCTGTTTTGGATGATGCTGTTATTATAGTGAACGTCATTACACCGAAGAATAAAGAGTAAACAAAGGAAGTAAGTGTCACTCCTGCCATGCTATATCTGTGTGGTATCTAACTCCCTGCAATTCAAGATTGTCCCAAGTTTCAAAGGCAATGAAGTGTCCTAATTTATGAGGCGTGGGACTTAGTTGAGGGTTGGATCAAAGCATAAGCAGTGTTTGAACTAAATTGAATTTTCCTGTCATGCGAGGTGGATGACATGTCATGTTTCTTTCATGCATGTGGTGTTTTATTAAAATGGAAATTTGTAAAACGAGAATCCACTTAGATGAGACTACCATTGATTCGTTCTCTTCTAATCGATGTGGGATCTCACAATTCACTCCTTTCGGACCCAGTGTCCTCGCTGCCACTCGTTCCCTTCTCCAATTGATGGGGACCCCCAATCCACCTCCCTTCGGGCCTAGCATCCTTGCTGGCACACCGTCTCGAGTCCACCCCTTTTAGGGCTTAGCCTCCTCGCTGACATATCGCCTAGTGTCTAGCTCTTATAACATTTGTAACGGTCCAAGTCCACCACTAACAAATATTGTCCTCTTTGGAGTTTTCCTTTCGAGTTTTCTCTCAAAGATTTTATAACAGTCTGCTGGGAAGAGATTTCCACACTCTTATAAACAATGTAACCGATGTGGGATCTCACATAATCACACCACTATACTATCTCGAACTACACATGTATTTGTGGTTCTCTTCAATCTTCAATCTTGAGTTGCCTTAGAAATTAAGAACGAAAAATACTGTGAAAACAGAGGAATTGAGGGAGAGCTGAGAAGGGAAAAAAAGCAATAAGATGAAGAGAAAAGCAAAGAAGAGAAGACCCACTTAAAATGATGCATCAGAAAGGGATTTTGTGAACATTGCTGCAATGGGGAACAGATATTAGTGCTTGTACGGTATTCCTCGTCAATTATTTGGCATCATCATCAATCATTGGATTCGTTCATTTGACCTTCAAGTACAGCAGAGATCAGATTAAAATTTGTGATAAAATAACAAAAAGTAAACAAAAACTGGGCCCTACACAAAGACTTTGGCTGGCATTATGTTGAACTTGACTTGTCAGTGGGCATTGAACGCAATCCGCGGTGTATATAACAGAGGAATCTAGAATCAACCGTTTCCATCACAGAATGAACAGATTTAAAAGGATGAAATTTCTAGTTGGGCAATGATAATCAAACAAATATATCAGAGGGCTTCATAGAACCGAATTATTATACAAAGGGCAAATCTCCCACTGCACACATTCGAAGTTATATAATTGACACTGAACACCTAAAACCAACCATGACAACACGGATTAAGAGACAAACCTATCTAAGAATCATCATGGGATTGCATTGTAAAACACAAGCACTTGTCTTTCACTGCTTCACCCTCACTCCCGTACTCTTTAAATCTGTACTCTTCTTGCTTGCTTGATGGAGGCACCTTCCCCTCGCTATAACATTGATTACACAAGCTAAAATGTGATTTCATCTCCTTGAATCGAGATCCGATGATAGGGTAGCAGCAAACGGAGCATACGTGATTCCCATGTCGATTTCTGTCTCCGCTTTCTAGCTTCAACAGGGTGGACATAATACCAAAACCCCAATCTTGGTCATTGAACATGACAAGAAACTCTGTGAAGGACACCACAGAATTGTCTGTCTGCCCATGGACTTCCATCATCTCACTAGATCCTTGACTAGGAACATATATGGCCCTCAACAGTTTGATATACCTGACTGCATCAAATTTTCTGATCTGAGTGCCACCGTCGTTCACAGGTCGCCATACAAGGGCATCGTATGCCACCCGCTTTCTCTTTTCAGGGGGACCTGTGCAAATGGGAGCAAGAATGGCGAAAAACAGCCCCAAGTCCACCCTTCCTGAGCCTGTCTCGTCCAGGACAGAGAGTATCCTCTCGTTAATGGCTTTGACAGCTCCTTGGAACGTTTCTGGCTTCAAGAAATTCAATAATCTACGAAGAATTTCTTCCAAGCTAGGCTTGCGTATGGACTTCTCAGGCACGCCACCACCTGAATAAGACACTGGCACATCATGTTCACTGATTTCCTTCTTAATAAGTTCCACATCACAACGATTCAATCTGGTAATCTTCTGAAAAGATCTAATTTTGAGAGCACTTGACAGTTCTGATCTCAAAACAGTCTTCTCTCCAATGGTCTTAAATTTCGAGGCTTCCACAACTATAAAAGCCCCTTCACCATTTGCACTGCCATTGCCTTTCAACTTCTTCTTCTGCAACTGTTTCAAATGCGATATTGCATCATGTAACTCCACCCTGTTCGTCATTTTCAAGGCTTCCTTTAAGGCCTTCTTAGCGTCCTCAGCTTCCCCAGCACCCAACAAGGACACAGCTTTGTTCAGCTGAGCCCGCCAATGGTTAGGCCACACAGCTAAAACCCTCGTGTACATTTCTGAAGCTCTCTGGAACCTACCCAAGTCCATGTAAAGTCCACCCAAGTTATACAAAGCATCTACATGGCCAGGCTTCAAGTCGATTGCCTTCTGAAACACCTCAATTGCACGCTCATCTTCCCCCATCGCATGCAAAGCGGAGGCCAAATCACAGTGAGCATCCGCATAATCTGGCTTCATGAATATGGCCTCTTCCAAGGCCTTAACGGCAGCCCTATATTCCCCAACTCCAAATAAAGCACTCCCCAGCAGTTTCAAAGCTCTAAAATGTGTAGGACAAAGAATAGCAGCTTCTCTATAGTATTCGCAAGCACTTAAAACCATACCTTCACCTTCAAGTGCAATGCCGAGATTCACATAAATTTGTGGAAGCAAATATCCCCATTGATTTCCCCCAGCCTCCGCCGCCTCCAATGCCAACAGAAACTCTTCCTTTGCCTCCTTGTATTTTCCAAGAACATACAAGCAGTTCCCAGCTCTAAAATGCGGCCTCACGTCAGTAGGTTGCAACTCACAAGCCCTCGTGAAGCTAACAAGAGCCTCCTTGAAAAGCTGGTGCTCATATAAAACCCTACCAATTGCCATATGCCCATCAAAAGCCTCCTCTCTGGACCGCGCTCGATCTGCTCGGGTTCTCAAAACCCCTAATTCCTTGAGAAACGAAGCATAGTCATGGCCGGACTCTTCCCAGAAAACCCTCTTCTCAGAAAGCTCCGAAGACGGCCCCAATTCTCTCGACCAGCCTGCATCAGAATAGGCATCGAAATTGTCCGCCTTCAATTTCCCATCCTTAGCCTGCTTTGTCTTTAACCTCTTAATCAAAACCTCCAAATCATCCACGATCTTCCAAGTATCATCGAAGACAATACCATGATTCGGCGACAACGCCCACGCCGCAGTCCTCTGCTTCTTCTGCGACTCCAAAGCACGTTCATCGGCAATTGAAGAAGAAGAAGCCTCGGAAGTCACCAAAATTCCCTTGTTATCATCCTGATTGAGTTCCAATTCAAGCGCGTCGAAGTCACGGTCCACATCTCCAGCACCATCATCATAAGTCCTCAACAACCCCTCAAAAGTTAAGCCCTTATCGCCCTGAATGAAATCCCCATACGTCCGAAACACCTCATCGAGAATAGCATTGATCTGTTCCTCGCTAAACTTCACCCTAGGGTTAACCGCCACAACAAGCGCCGCCATTTCGTCCCTATTGAGACCCCCATCATGGCTAACATCGAATTTCTGAAAGATCCTCTTCACCTTCTCCGATCTGCTCCCTCTCGTCGACATTGCCGGAAAGGGGGAAGCAGAGGAAAAGAAGGAAACAAAAGCAGTGGAGAAACAAAGAAATCAGAAAGGCAGAAAAATCAAAGAATCCATTAGGGTGGTTTTAATTTTGGATACGAGCATGAGATGATTTCTCACGTTCTTAGTTTGATTGGATCTGGAAGAAACCCGAGGGAGAGAAACAAAGAAGGGACAGACTCCGCCCTATCTTTATTATCTCTTCCATTCCCTCGCCCCTCTTCTTTCCTTTATCTAATTATTCCATAAAATTAATGGATTTTTTATAAATTTAATCTTCATTACATTCCTTTCAATAAAAAAAAAAAAAAAAGAACCAGCTTTGTTGCGCCAACTGGGTTTGATAGATGAGTTAATATAAAAATACAATACTCTCTCTTCTGGGCTTCCCTTCCATTTCCCGTCTTCCTTTGTTCTTATAATTATTGCATATCAAGTGTTTGATAATTTGCTTCAATCGCGGCCTCCTCCCCTTTAAACACCCAATCACTTTCAGTACGCCCAAAAGTTAATCACCTCAAATAATTGATTCCAAAACATTTTACTCCCAATTCTTTTTTCTTTTTTTTTTTTGTTTTTACAAATTAGTAATTGAATTCTTTATGCGTTTTTTTTCTTTTCAAAACCCACTTTGAAATCCTTGAGATTTAAAAAATGAATAGTAATTACTTTATAAAACCGGTTTTCAATATTAGATTGCCAGAACGAATTTGAGTGAACTGGCATAATTTAAAAGCACACAAAATCGATATCAAGTCAGATTTATTGGGTTTTAAATTAGTCATCAAATCATTACTTACGACTCTGAATTTCGTATTATCTAATATTATCTCTGGATTACTTTTTAATTTAATTCTAATTTATTTATCTTCTTTTTTCACGGTTGGTTATCTTTTAAATGGCAGGAGAGGACTAATACGATGGTATTGTCGGCGGGAGTAATTGATGGGAGGAGTGGGCTTTAGTTTTTCGCTATTGGGCCTGGGCCAATTTACAGAAAATGCGGCCCACAAGAGAAACTTCCCAATTGTAGTTACGCCGTCTCCGATTGGAGGTCTAGGAGAATATGACCATCGCCCCTCCGACTGTCTTTACAAGTCAGTCGCCTTTTGGCGGTGAAATTCAGAAACGCCGTCCAACTCCCGCGGTTGGTTTACCGGCACTACAAATTTCCTGGTGAAGAGGAGAATTAGAAAAGAAGGAAACGCGACGTTGGAGCGAGAATGAGTAAGAGGCCACCGCCGGACCCTGTGGCCGTGCTCCGAGGTCATCGGGCCTCTGTCACCGACGTTTCTTTTCATCCGTCTGAACCTCTTCTCTTTTCGGGGTATCCATTAGCTCCGATCACTCCTTGTTTCCTCTTTGAGCCTTTTGCTTCTGTTATTTATTTGAAATATTCTGCCGGGTAGTAAGTGTTGTAATTGCGATTCATATTAGCTCTGCAGATGGTGAGTTGCGTATTTGGGACACGGCTCAGCATAGAACGGTATCATCAGCATGGTATTGACTATTGCTTCGTTGCTTTTAGTTTTTGCTCCTTCTGTGTGTTGTATCTCATTTGTGATTGGGATAACTGATATCAGGGTGCATAGTGCGGCACACGGAATTATTAGTATTGCTTGTAGTCGTTCAATTGGGACAAATAGAGTTGTCAGGTGCTCTTCTTCAAGCGCTTGTATCTGTTCATCTTTTATATCTTCTTATCCAGTACGGAATTTTAATTCATTGCTTGAATGGTTTGCGAGTTGTGTATGCTTATAGTTTAACTCCTCTGTGTGTAGCCAGGGTAGGGATGGAACTGTGAAGTGCTGGGATATTGATGATAGGGCTCTGTCCAGGTATTTGCTGGTTTACGATGCTTTGTTCACTAGAATTTTCTTTTTGTTTTTTTCCGGCCACGCATGTCCCTAACTTTAGACCATTTTAAGAACGCTGTTGCACTCTGCAGAATCTATGTTTTTACGAACAAAATTCTATTGAACCTTACATGAAATTATCGTCTGAACTGTTTGTTCACCTTGAACATTCGGATTTTACGTGAGGCCCGTCTTTCAAAATTTCTAATCTTACTCGGACAATTTTTGGTGTCATTCTTTGTTTTTGGTAATTCACATACGTTGTTGGTAATTTTTATGCACAACAGAGTTCCCTCTGTAACAATCAACACAAATGCCTATCACTTTTGCAAACTCTCCTTGGTGAAGCAGCCTTCTGATTTTTCAAGGCATGATGGTGGTCCTAAGTGTAGTAATGATATAGACCAGAACCCCGTCGAGGTCGAAACTTTGAGCTGCAGTGGAGAAAAGACTCAAGAAAATTCTACTGAGCAGGCATGCATATCAGAAGGTTCTTTCAAGTCGATGGTTCATGTAATTTTTTTTTTTCTAATGCATGTTTGATTATATATGCCTAATGTCTTCGCATTATCCATTGTTGAATAATGGTACATCTTCTAACATTGTTGTGATGATGCTAATTAAAATGGTGTTTTTCCTGACTTCTGCTGATAAACCAGCGGACGGACTTAAGTATGTGGCTGTTGCCGGGGAGCAATCTTCAGAGGTTTGTATGAAGATTATTCTTGTCTATATTTACCCACATACCATTGAGTACCGAGGCCTTGATTTCTTATTCTCTACGGTGTGTGATGAAAGGTTGAAATTTGGGATCTGAATTCTGGGGAAAGGTTGCTACGACTTCCTCCAAACTGTGAAGGGGATTGCCCAAATATCTCTACGAAGGAGAGAGGTTGGTTTCATTGGTTTGCTTAAACCATTAAGTATTTCTTACAATAATGTTTTTAATATCATTAAAGAATAGCTTTAACAAAATGACAATTAAAATAACTGTAGTATTATTATTATTTATTAATTTTTACTTGCATAGTTACCATTCATTACTTAATCAAATGAATTGATGAATTGACTTATCCTATTTGTGACCAAACGAGTACTTGTCTCTAATATCTTTTGTGATTCTATTCCATCTGTACAATCAAACATAGCCTTTAGTTACATGTTCAATTTTGGTTTTTCTTTTCTAATTTTCATGCCGACTATGAAATCTTAAAAAATTGTCTCTGGCAGGATTGTGCATGGCAGTCCAAGCCTTTTTACCGTCTAAATCTCAGGGATTCTTAAATGTCTTGTCTGGGTACTTCTTTACCTTCATTCTTCTTTCTCTTCACTTATACAAAATGATGTAAGCTAAATTATAATAAATATCCGTTGCCCTATGTTTCAAGAATGTCGTATTCTTTCAAAAGTTATAATATTATCTTTGACCTTTCATGGACGTTTCAAAAATACCCTTGGAGTAAAAAAAATCGTTGTAATGTTGGACAAAAAGCCGACGTGTTTAACTACTGTTCTTTCTTACTTAATTCATGCAAGCGTCCTAGTCACCGAAACCAATATTTTGTCCCATAATCTAACACATCTTTACTTCAAGAATAGTTTTGAAACATATATGAAAGGTTAAGGGTAATATTGCAGTATTCTTGAAACATATATGAAAGGTTAAGGGTAATATTGCAGTATTCTTGAAACATATATGAAAGGTTAAGGGTAATATTGCAACATATATGAAAGGTTAAGGGTAATATTGCAGCTTTTGAAAGAGTAGGGGTATTTTGTAACCAAATGACAAAGTTCAAGAGTGTGCTTTATAATTTAGCCAATTATGTATTAGTTAAAAATACTCAAATAGAACAAAGATGCTCATGTGTATCTTTCTCTTAGTCTCGTCACATTGCCCATAACTTCTTGAGTTGATCATTGCCTATTATCACATCATCTACCGTCCAAAAATTGTGACCACAGTTATACTTAATAGTTTATCACAATCTTATTTAATGAACATGTATTCTGATCATGCCATCTTTGGTTCTTGCATTACAGTTCATAGGCTTAATCAATTTCACTGTCTAATCCTCTAGAATGCAAGTTTAAATTTCTTTTCATTATTTAGATACGAGGATGGTTCCATGCTTTGGTGGGATCTAAGGAATCCGGGTGTTCCAGTAACATCAGTGAAGTGTCATTCAGAGCCAGGTGCTTGTCTGAATATTCTGGACTTCTATGTATTCTTTCCTCAGTGAAAAGCCACGATTTTGATTATCTTGTTTGCAGTTCTAAGCATTTGTGTTGATGGATCTTGCAATGGTGGTATCTCAGGAGCTGCAGACGACAAAATTGTGACTTTTAGTTTGGATCATTCCATGGTATTTAAAGTGTACAAAAATTTACTTTAAAAAATGACGCTACTTAAATATGATATATTAGTTCCGTAATAATGAAATATTCGGCTAGTAAAAAATTACATAACTTAAACCTTCCTTATGTAGTAAATAGGCTAATAGCTTTTGTTGACTTGTTCTAATATTATATTTTTTTTGACAATATGAGGGGTGGGTGAATGACTATCCTAATATTCAGCTGAATAATTGTTTGGTGGAGGGGATGTTCATCATGCTCTTCAAATGCCTTTCATGAATCTGTGAGAATATTTTGAATCTTGCATTCTTCCCAAGGAGAAGTTTTAATATGATAGTAAAAGGTGTTTGTGCGTGTTTCTCTATGCTATGAAGTTTTCATATGATAATAATAGAAGATTTCTGATGGTCCCTTTAGTTGTTGAAATGTCTGTAGATTGAGATGGCTTTATTTCATGGTTTACTCTCTATAAAAATTACGTTTATTTCATGGTCCATTACTAGTATAGATGCAACTGCCATTTTGCGCTTTTATATGTGAAATTTATTTTGGTTCTCTTATGTTATAAAGGGTACATGTCTAGTGAAGAAAGAAATTACTTTGGAACGGCCTGGCATAGCAAAAGTCTCTATTCGACCAGATGACAAGATTGCTTCAACTGCTGGTTGGGATCACAGGTTAGCAATGCTATGCTTGGAAATTGTGTGGTGTGCTGTGTTTTATATATATCTGCTGTGCCTGTAAATGTGCCCCAAAACGAAGATATTCAATCTCAAAGGAAGATGGTGAATGAAGTAGTGCTGAGCCAATGGAGAGACGTGTATCCCTGTCTTATATTGTCTAGCTGTCCCAGTCAAACTAGTCTTTCAAAAGATCTTCTATGAGATTACTGTTGAACTCTTATATACAACTGCTTTCTGTTCAAGTGAAAATGAACCTTTCAGCATGAGATCTTTAATGTTTCACGTGACTGATGTTTGATTGTTTATGCTGCATGATACTGTGAAATATGTGAAACATGATCCGAAAGATGATCTCTTGCTTAATTTTTTTTCTTTCTCCCTGTGGCAGAGTACGGATATATAATTATCGGAAAGGAAGCCCCCTTGCTATATTGAAGTATCATCAGGCCTTGGTATGACTTTCTTTATATGGCAATAGTACCAAACGTTTTACATTTATCATTTTTGTTGGATGATAAAACACGGGGACCATGGTTATTTTTTCTTCTTTTTTCTCTTCATACTATGTGTTCACCGACCTCGTTTCTAGTTTTCCGTGGATCTAGATTCTTGATGAGGTGATGATTCTGGCATTCCTTGGAACGGAACAAATTATCAAACAACTTTTTATTTTCTCAACAGTTTTGAAACTAGCTTTCCTTTGTCATTGGGTCATTTTATTCTCTTCATGTTCGTTTAGAGCCTGGAAAATATAGCAAAAGGATTTCACATCTACCCATGATGAATTTGAAGTGGCTATGGCTACAAACTCGTTATTAGTCCATCTTATATTGCAGAATCTTCTTCCTGCTTCTCATTGTTCAGTAGTTTTTTTTTGGCTTTTAAGCGTATTGCTTTCCATACTTGCAGTGTAATGCTGTATCATACTCGGACAACTGTAAATTAATGGCATCTGCGTCAGAAGACAGAACAGTGGCACTCTGGGAACTCTATCCTCCTCGAACTTGAATTCAAATGGCTGCCGTTGTTTCTCGCTTGGGAGGAGGGTATAGGCATCTGACTTACCATGCCCTGATGTACCTTTATTTATTACTATTATTTTCTTTCTTTTTAATCTTTTTAATCTTTTTGTAATTTATTTCACTGTGGTACATTTACTGATAAAAGGTAAAAAGCACCCTCCCAACTTTTCGCATCTGTAGCATCTCTTCACTTCACGGAATGAGACTTTGTTGGGGCTCTCAGTGTTCTATAGTTGGAGACTGATATTATAGGTTACGTTAATTGTTGTTCATGTTTCTTCTTGAACTCTTCAAGAAGCTAATCTTGATTGAGCGTTAGGTTCTGCATGATAGATGCCGGTTAATTTTGGCTTGCCCAATTGAATCTTCTTGGTTCTTTCTTGTTCTTTAGTTTCATCGCCTCCTCAAGATCGTTCTTTTAAAAGATATGAATAAGCAGTCGGTGGTTCTGTTCTTCTGCCATGTGTTGCTCCTCGCCGGAATGTCTTTTTCCCATTCCACCTGCACCGGCTACTGGACACTTTTGCAGGACGCCATGGGCATTTCAGCCATGCACATGCAGCTACTCCACAACGACCGTGTCGTCATGTTCGATGGCACCGACCTTGGCCCATCGAACGTGTCGTTCCCCAAAGCAAAGTGCTCAAGAATCTACAATGGACGTCGAATCGGGTTCGATTGTACTACTCATTCTGTCGAGTACGACGTCGCCACCAACTCATTCAGGCCACTCGCTATTCAGTCAAGTATGTGGTGCTCGTCGGGTGGAGCTGTGCACTATGGCGCTCTGGTTCAAACTGGTGGTTTCAAAGCTGGCGACCGGACCGTCAGGATCTTAAAACCGTGCCGAGGATGTGACTGGGAAGAGATTCCGATGGGGTTGCTCACCCGCCGGTGGTATGCCACCAACCACATTCTCCCCGATGGCAGCCAGATCATAGTCGGCGGCCGGAACAGCTTCAGCTATGAATTCTTTCCTAAACCTGCATCGTTTTATTGGCATTTGGCGGAGACTAAATCCGCAGCCAAGGCATATAGTTTGCCGTTCTTGGTGCAAACCAACGATGGCGAAACCGAAAACAATTTGTACCCATTTGTGTTTCTTCATATCGATGGGAGTTTATTCATATTCGCTAATAATCGAGCCATCTTATTTGACTACTCCAAGAACAGGGTTCTTAAAGCCTTCCCGGAAATTCGTGGCGGCAATCCGAGGAATTACCCGAGTACTGGATCGGCTGTGATGCTTCCGTTGGATTTGCAGGCGAAATCCATTGAAGTGGAGGTGATGATCTGCGGTGGAGCTCCAAAAGGAGCTCATATTAAAGCTCGCAATGGAGTTTTCGTCAAAGCACTCAAAACTTGTGCAAGAATCAAAATTACCAGTCCAAACCCCAAATGGCTTATCGAGATTATGCCACTTCCCAGGGTTATGGGCGACATGTTGTTGCTTCCAAACGGCAACGTTTTGCTTATCAACGGCGGGTCCTTCGGCACCGCCGGCTGGGAACTTGGCCGGAAACCGGTACTGAACCCGGTTCTGTACCGACCCAACAAACCACCCGGTGCAAGATTCGAAATGAACGCCCCGAGTAAAATCCCCCGTATGTACCACTCGACGGCGATCTTGCTTCGTGATGGCCGTATTCTCGTCGGTGGGAGCAACCCGCATCCGGTTTATAATTTTTCCGGCGCACTTTTTCCAACGGAACTTAGCATAGAAGCATTTCATCCTTCATATCTTGACCCTCAATTCTTGGCCTTACGTCCCACAATACTAACACCATGGTCTCAAATGATGCTTCTCCACGGACAAACTTTCAAGGTGGAGTTTACGGTGATCGACGAATTAGACCCGACGGCAGTGTCGGTAACCATGTTGGCTCCGCCGTTCAATACCCATTCGTTCTCAATGAACCAGAGGCTGTTGGTGCTCGGCGTGGGCAATGTGACGACGAACATATGGCCGGATCTGAAGTATGAAGTGGAGGTTAGCGCTCCTGTTGGCAGTAATATCGCACCGCCTGGGTTTTATCTATTATTTGTTGTTCATCAGTGCATTCCCAGTGAAGGCATTTGGATTCAAATACTTGGATAATTGATTTCGCTGTTCCAGTTCTTTTCCGAAGTGGATTACTGTTTTTGTTCATATTGGTTATTCATTGTAATTTGCCTTCCTATTTTGAATCATAGTGTATATGAATAATTAAGGTTTAACAATTTAAAACCACCTATGAATAAGATGAAACGTAGAAATCCATGTATAATGCCAACAACATGCTTTTGTATAAATTTTGAATTTGTTAGTTAAAATATTGTAATCTACGGACCCATAAAATGTATGTCAATTGCGTTGGCCACGATGGTATCAACCCACCAACCAAAACTGACTCTTAAATTCCAACTTCCGCGTTTCTTTTTTCATATTATATTTCATATCATTAAATAATTTTTATGTTATCAATATATGAATTTCTATTCCTTTTCATCTATATTAGTTTCCAAATTTTTAGTATTAATATTTTCTACAAAAACAAAAACATATGCGAGTTATGTTCATGTACAAAAACATTAAGGGAAAGCTTGAAAAGAAAAGTCTAAAGAGAACAATATCTGCCAGTGGTGGGTTTGGTATCAAAGACAAACACCATGTGATGTGCCAGCGAAGACATTGAGCCCCAAATAGAGTGAAGATCAGGCAGTGTGCTAGCGAGGACGTTGAGCACCGAAGGGAGGTGAACACTGGACCCTGAAGGGAGGTGAATGGTAAGATCTTACATAAGTTGGAGAGAGGAACGAAACATTGTTGATAAGAGTGTGAAGAAGCCTGGTAAAGTTTTCGTTAACTAATGGGGTTTTTAATTGATATTTATAATAAATTAAATGTTAGAGGTTAAAATCTTTTTAAGTATAAACATATATTGCATGCTACATATATAGTATTATTGCTTTCTGTTTTATTTATGATATTATTTTTTTCTATTAAATAAAAAACAAAACATAGATATAAAGAGAATAATCAAAGGTTGGCTTGTTCAAGTTTCAAACCATAAACAAGTTTATCGACTTCATTGCAACCATCGTTATCGCTATATCTCATCCGTGTTTGAATGGATATTTTATTTTCTAATACTTTGTATAATTTTTTTTCTTTTTACAAGAAATATATACATAAATTCTATGTGAAACGAAACGGATAAGAAAATCCCGAATATATGGTAATTTAATATTATAAAATGAATACTTATTTGTCTATCTCTCTAAAAAAAAATTATTAAATATATATTTTTCTATTTTCTAATAATTAGGGAGAAAATCTAATTTTTATTATCCATATCATAAGTTTTTATTTATGTATTTAATTTATTGAGTGAAAAGACATGAATTAAATTATATTTATGTTTGGAATGTTGAGAGATGTATTTCTTAGTATGACCTAATTAAAAATTAAACATGAATATTACAATACTACCCTTATCAGGTCTACATCAGAAAATTCTAAGAAATAATCAATAGCTGGAAGCGTTGAAAATAAATAAATTAATGAGAAATCAATAATTGGTTTGAAAAAAAAAAATAAAAAAAAATAAACCATTGCTAAGAGCTTTGCCGTATCACATAAGATCATATTAAATAATATTTCATGACTAAGTCTCCAGCACGTCACACTTCGGTTCCTTTTTAAATTTTATATACATTATATTAATATTCTATACGTAGCGTTCGGTGAGAAGGTATGAAATGTGACTAGTCAATAATCGAGTTATATTCTATCAAAGTTGTGGTTGTTGTTTATATGCTTTTAGCCTGTAATATTGTTTTTTACAAATTATTTTCGACTCATTTTCTCGCCTACACTTTCAAAAACACTTTATCTCAAACGTGACCCGAAGCTTAATCATACGTCTAAATCGTTATCTATAATGTAATAGTGACACTAAACACACACGATTCACCATCAAAATAATTTCTCATACATACAATTTTAATGTCAAATTACCGTACTAATCCAATGTTGAAACAAGATGTGTTATCAGTAATATTATAAATTCAACTTCCACATCGTAGGGGTGTTTTAGGCATATATGCGTCTTGTAAGTTTTAGTTCTTATATTAATGTTAGTTAAAGATTCTTACAATAATAGATACAAATTGATAATTAAAAAAAAAAAAAAAANGAAGACAGAATATTACAGTCTAACATGAACATAACCTTTTATTTTTTATTAAAAGATTAAATATTTAAACCCTTACAAACTAAAAAAAAAAAAACATAATTAAATAATTAAACCACTCTTAAATGGGATTGATTCTATCCGCTAATCAAAACTTTTATAATTGATTTAAAATTGGACACTTTGGTATAAAATTAAATTAGTTAAGGATTAAAAACAGAACAATACGGGTTGTATTAACACAAAAAATAATGCGGGTCAGCCTTCCCAATGGATCGACATAATCGGGTGATTTAAAAAAAACAAAAATAAAAATATTGGCAACGAGTAGCATTTATGAAGCAGCTAACTGAACAAGACAAGGGCATATGAGACAACATTAATTTATTTAATGTTCTATTATATTTATTTACCCTTGTTTTTATCTTAATTCATTTACTCATTTGTATTAAATACGACAAAAAATACAAAAATTCAAATAACCTCACGTCTTTTCAAAGCTACACCCTAAATTCTTTTGAAAATATTATTTAAGTAATATAAAATAAAAGCACCCCTTCGATACTACTTATTAATTGAAAATTCATTCATCTGAATTCATTCATTTACTCATTTTGTTATTCGTGCGAGCCCAAAACATGTATAAATAAACAAGCCACCGCCCCATAAGACCAAGCCATGCATACCCTTCAAAAGCAGATCCAAAGCACTCCCAAAGCTGCCATTATGTATAATCCTTGCATAATTTTATCACTCTTCTTTGCCCTCATACTCTTCTCCGCCCTGCCTCTCACGGAGGCGGCCGGCGGGAGGTGGCGGATGCTGCAGAAAAGCGTCGGCATTGCCGCCATGCACATGCAGCTACTTCGAAACGACCGCGTTGTGATGTTCGATCGCACCGATTTTGGTCCTTCTAATCTTTCTTTGCCAGGAGGAAAATGCCTTAGAGACCCTAAAGCCGTCGTAAAAGTCGACTGTACGGCCCACTCAATCGAGTATAATGTCGTCGCCAACACTTTCCGACCACTCATGGTCCAATCCGACGTTTGGTGTTCCTCCGGCTCTGTTTTCACCGACGGCACTCTCGTTCAAACTGGCGGCTTTAATTCCGGCGAACGGAGAGTCAGAACGTTTGAGCCCTGTTCCACCTGCGACTGGAAGGAGATTCAGTTGGGATTATTAGCCAGGCGGTGGTATGCTACTAACCATATTCTCCCCGACGGCAGACAGATCATCATCGGCGGCCGGAGACAGTTCAATTACGAATTCTACCCGAAAACCGCAGCAACTCAAAAACTGTTCGATTTGCCCTTCTTGGCTGAGACCAACGACAATAATATCGAAAACAATTTATACCCATTTGTTTTTCTTCAACCCGATGGGAATCTATTCATATTTGCCAACAATCGTGCGATTTTATTCGATTACACCAAAAACAGAGTCGTCAGGACATTTCCGGCAATTCCCGACGGCGAGCCTAGGTGTTACCCGAGTACTGGCTCCGCCGTGATGCTGCCGTTGAAATTGGATGCTAAATCCATCGAAGTTGAGGTATTGGTGTGCGGCGGAGCTCCGAAAGGGTCTTATACTAAGGCCAATCGAGGGGTTTTCGTTGAGGCATTGAAAACTTGTGCCAGAATCAAAATTACAGACCGGAATCCCAAGTGGGTCATGGAAACAATGCCGCAACCCAGAGTGATGGTTGATATGTTGTTGCTTCCAAACGGCAACGTTTTGCTCATTAACGGAGGCTCCGCCGGTACCGCCGGGTGGGAACTCGGCCGTAAACCGGTTTTGAACCCGGTTCTGTACCACACAAACAACCCTCTCGGTCGGAGATTCGAATTGCAAAATCCGACAACGATTCCCCGAATGTACCACTCGACAGCGATTCTACTCCGCGACGGTCGTGTTCTGGTTGGCGGCAGTAATCCGAATTCGCTATACAATTTCACCGGCGTGCTGTTTCCTACTGAATTAAGCTTAGAAGCATTTTCCCCATCGTATTTAGATCCTGAATTTTCATCTTTCCGACCAGCAATCCAATACCCAATTTCCCCGGCGAAGGTCCGCCATGGACAAGCATTGAAGGTGGGTTTCACAGTCCCCGGAAGAGTCGCCCCGACAAAGGTGTCGGTGACGATTCTGTCGCCGGCGTTCAACACTCATTCGTTCTCCATGAACCAGAGGCTGTTGAATCTGGGGAGCAGGGCGTTTAGACTTAGAGGGAGTTCGAAATATGAAGTTGAAGTAACAATTCCGGGATCACTTATCGTTGCACCGTCGGGGTATTATATGTTATACGTCGTTCATCAGGAAATTCCGAGCGAGGGAATCTGGGTGCAAATTGCTTGACCTAAACTGACATCAAATCCGTGTGCTTCGTGTTTTGGTTCAAATATATTTTCTTTTGTGCTCTGATTTTTAATTGTCAATACTTAATATACACAAGGAGAAATTGACTTGTTTCTCAAGTAAATAAAGGTCGTTTGTTTCACAGATCATCATAGGAGGGGGCGTGGATTTGTAAATTTGGTCGGAAGTAAATATTTTGAATAATAATAGCTTAAATTATGATTGGTGTTCAGTTGACTGTTAAATGCGAAGGTAAAAATGATATGAATGCATGGTTTAATAAATGAATGACATTAAAAGTTTGTCCAAAATTAGATGTTTTGGTTGTCATGGCTTTCGAGATGGAATATTCTTGATTTGATTCGTAATGGTTTAATTAATGGTAACATAAGCATATAACTATTTTTAAGGAATCGGATTTGTTGGAAACTTCTACTTTGCAATAGAAATTAATGTTGAGTTGAGTGTACCATAATGATTATCATTTTTTTTAAATGGTAAAAGTAATTACAAATGCCAGGTCATACTACTTGATATATTCTTCTGCCGACCTTATTATATAAAAGAATGTGCATACACATCAAATTAAAATCCACATGCTTATTATTTTTGGTTTTGGGATAGTCAGAATTAATGATTAAACAATTACATTAAAATAATGGGACCGGGTTCAGAGAATAGAAGCCAAAGCCGGAATGTCTGTCGGGGAGAATCAGGAGCGGTTGTTGTTTTCGGGTCAGACTGTGGATGCCCGAACTGAGCCTGAACCAGGCCCATGAGATAAGTAGGCCAGGCCCATTCAGGCCTTTTTACTTAGTTGGACCGGGCCCATGGTGTACCGTTTATCCGCGACAAGATTGATAATCGCGAGGAACAGTTAATCGGGTCACGGGATGGAGACAACGTCGTCCGACCGTTCCAATTTCCGAATCGGAGAGTATTCAAACTCTCTCCTTCGCCTTTTCTTGTACGGTTCGGTTACTCACGGGGTTTTTGCAGTTGCAGTCTTTTTTTAGTTTGAAAAGAAAAATAATATTTTTAAATGCAGGAGGAGGAGAAGGAACGGTCGAGATTTACGAAGAAGAGGAGACCACCTTAAATTTTTAAAAGAGATGAATTTATTTTGTTTGTGAATTGAAAAATCATAATTCTCGGAATGCCCAAAAACCAAATCCTCCCCCTACCCACCACTTTTGGTTTTTGGTTTCTTTATTATTATTAAAAACATTTATATATTTGCGGAGCTTCCCATTTGGATTAGGGTTTCTTGTTGCTTCACCTTCTTCGTCCTGGAGTGAAAAAAGCTGATACCTTCCCGATCTCTTCTACTAGCCGTTACACTTCTCATTTCCCGCCAATTTTACCTGTTCTTTACCCATTTCCTTTCTTTTATTTTTCACCCCCTTTCCCTTTTCTCTTCCTCCTCTCGGTTTTTGTTGCCGGCGTCCTTTGAACTTCTTTTGACCCTTGCTCTCTCTGGGCTTCCGGGTAAAATGTCTTCGCTCGACGCCGGTTCCAAGGTCGAGGAGGTTAAGGACAAGGAAGACAAGGCAGGGGAGCTTTTGTTCTGTGGTGCTACCTGCTGGGATATCATTGGTCGGAAAAAAGGCTCTGTGGAAGGCAACTTGAGTTCTCCCACTCGCCTCCGCCCTCTCGTCGGAGTTGACATTCGTTTTGTTGCTTCTGGTTGCAGTAAGTTTTTGCTTTTCTGTTCAGCGCTACAGATTTTGTTGTTTTTGCGTTGTTTTTTTAGTTCTAAACTAGACAGAGAGGTTGGTTGATGTATTTTATGGAGTATTCAACTCTGATCCTGCATTGCAGTGATGTGGTTTTTGACGTTTTGAATGTTAATGTTGGCGTAGCATCGTGTCATTGTGTGGCATTGGACGTGGAAGGGCGTTGCTATACCTGGGGACGCAATGAGGCATGTGAATCTCAAAAAGCGTCTTTTAAAATGTATATATAGATTATTATTTATTTATGTTTGACGTGTGAAGTAATTTGTGTTCAGAAAGGTCAATTGGGTCATGGAGATTTGATTCAGCGAGATAGGCCTACAATAGTATCTGACCTTTCGAAGTATGTTACTATGTTCGCCGGAGGTTTAATCGGTTGGATACTTTAGGTTTGGTATGTTTTTCTAAGACTTGATGATTATGTACGTTGTTAGGTATAAGGTGGTTAAAGCTGGAGCAGGGAGAAGCCACACAGTTGTGGTTATTGAGGATGGAAGTTCTCTATCTTTTGGTTGGAACAAACATGGCCAATTGGGTTCAGGTTCAGTGAAAAATGGTGAGTTGAATGAAATAGAGTTTTAAATTAAGGTAAATGTTACTTTTTATGCTGCATTGTTAACTAGTTATGAGAAAATATGACTTGTGCCATACAGCAGTGGATATGGCAATTCGATGTCACTGCTTCTTCATATTTCATGTTTAAATTCCTTTTCTAACGCACAATCTTTCATGTACTTGATCTTTGTTTCTTTTCCTTGTTTTGTTATTTAGAGATTGAGTCGTCTCCTGTACGTTGTCTTGTATCTGAAGTGAAACATACTGCTTGTGGCGGCGATTTCACTGTGTGGTTATCTTCTATTGAAGGAGCTTCCATACTGTATGGTTTGTGGATATGTTTAGATTCTGTTTTCTTCGTTCTTCTTGTTCGTAGATATCAATAGTTACTCGGCTTTTTGGTTTCTCAGTACTGCAGGTCTTCCACAGTATGGACAGCTTGGTCATGGAACGGATAATGAGGTACTATGCAGTGGTTTTACTACTTTTTATTCTATGCTTTTTAGTTTGAATTGAACAAATGAAGAATCTTGTGCTGTTTATCGTAAGAAGCATTGCAGTCCGGTATGGGATTACCAAGTGTGAGATAGTATTTTCAAAATTGTTGTTCAATGTGAAATCTTGTTTTTGTGATTTAAATACATATACAACCTCAGTGTATGTTCTCAAGTATTGGTTGTGATTGTTGAAAATGCACTGATCTACTATCAACTTACCTCGAAGTTTACTGATTTTCTAGTTTTTCATCTATTCCATGCTTATCAATGGTGAATACAGTAGCGTATGAGTTGAAATGCATGTTTTCTCCAGCATTTTTGTGCAGTGTTGTAACGTAATTAGTGAAATGTTTTCAGTGGTCTTGCTGCAACTCATGTTCTCGAAATGTGACTGAATTTTGAACTTTCGTTTTGTAGTAATAATCTGAGAGATTTGATGTAATTTTACGCACGTGCATCCTTATTTGCGATGCTTGCCTAATACAATAGGCTTTGTTATACTCATCACGATACGGTATGCTAAGACTTAATTTGGTATGAAGCTTTACATTTCTGGAAATGTGATTACAGTACAACACAAAGGATAGCTCAGTCAGACTTGCTTATGAAGCCCAACCACGCCCCAGAGCTATTGCTTCTCTTGCTGGAGAAGAAATTGTTAAAGTTGCTTGTGGAACAAATCATACAGGTTTAGCAATATATCTTCCTCTATGGGATCAGCCACTTTTGAAGCCTGTTGGACATGCTTGTTGTTGTTAATACTTCCATTTTCTGTTTGTTTTTTGCTTAATGAAATGCAGTGGCCGTGGATCGTAATGGCTTTGTTTACACGTGAGTATTGTCTTAGGCTACTTTCTGGATTTTAACTTTGTTTTGTCGCATCGTGGATTCTAATGGATTTGTCTTGTTCATGTTTACTTTCACTCTTAGGTGGGGCTTTGGTGGTTATGGAAGGTCAGTGATATGGACCGGCTCGGATTTGAATTCCTGCAATTCCACAAATGGAATAAATTTTCTGGCTCTTCTCCTCTTTATCTTGTTTTCGGTCTCCACTTCCGCCCTCTTCTTCCAAATTCTCGCTTTTTGTTTATCGAACTTTTTGGATGTGTTAATTTGCAGACTTGGGCATAGAGAGCAGAAGGATGAATGGGCCCCTCGACGCGTTGATGTATTCCAGAGGAAAAACACGCTTCCTCCTGATGCTATTGTTTCAGCAGGGTCTGTTAACTCTTCTTGTACTGCAGGTACCACTTCATAACATGAGGGCTTCTGTTGCTCTATTTTCAACTGTTCTCCAGATTATTCTACAGTTTTTAATTAACTTTCACAACCCTCCACTCATCTATATGTTACTTTTGAGTTCCTTTGTCCTTTTTCTTTTTATAGCAAGAACTCTTTTAGATATTGGTATTTTCTTTCCTTCTTTCAGGTGGGGGGCAGCTATATATGTGGGGGAAAATAAAAAATGCAGGAGATGACTGGATGTATCCCAAACCTCTCATGGATTTAAGGTTTTGGCCCTTGCTATTTGTTACTTTATATAGTGTTTTTGTCCCCTTATTATTTGTAACGGCTCAAGCTCACCACTAGCAGATATTGTCCTCTTTGGGCTTTCTCTTTCGGACTTCCCCTCAAGGTTTTTAAAACACGTCTTCTAGGGAGAGGTTTCCACACCCTTATAAAGAATGTTTCGTTCTTCTCCCCAACTGATGTGGGATCTCACAATCCCACTCCCTTTCGGGGCCCAGCGTCCTCGCTGGCACTCGTTTCCTTCTCTAATCGATGTGGGACCCCCCAATCTCTGACACTCGTTTGTATTTCTCCTGTTATGGCTTTTCTGTCTCTAATTATTTCATATATTTCTTTTTCAAGCTAGTTTGCTTCTTTTTTTTTTTTTTTTTTTTTTTTTTTTTTTTTTTTTTGCACTCAGTGGTTGGAATATAAGGTGCATGGATTCGGGCGGCATGCACCATTTTGTGGGTGCCGATAACTCGTGCATAAGTTGGGGCCATGCACAATATGGAGAGCTGGGATATGGCCCAACAGGGCAGAAGTATGATCCTTTCACTATCCAAAATGCTTCTTGCCTCTCTAATTGTTTTTCTCTCGAATGTTTTCTTATGCTAATCTCTATTGTTCAGGTCTTCTGCTGTACCCAAGAAAGTCGACATCCTGGAGAACATGCATGTCGTAAGGTAGATCATTATTTTTATATGCATATATATAGAGCCTTTCCTTGAATATTTTAGGACGTGATAGATTTTTTGTTTTTGCTTTTGCTTTAGTGTTGCATGTGGTGTTGGACACTCGATGGTTATCGTTGATAGAGCTAATATGGCTGACCGACTTGATCAGGTAAGAATTTTAAAGTATTCATTCATCATTGTCCTCCACATTTAACGACTTTGAAGTTAGAATTTTGCCCTTATAGTTGAATAAAACCTCGTAAGAATAGTCCCGAAAATCCCCATAAACAGTTGAACCTGCCTTTCCTTGCTTCTCTTAGCCATTTTCTGAAGTGCAGTGTGTTTGAAACTGCTGTATTCTGCAATGACATTCCTGGACAAAGGGATACTGTTAGCATTGTTGCCATCCTATCGTCACTCTTTCTTGTTTTTTGTTGTGTACACATTTCATTTTTACTTGGGTAAAAGGTTACTTCTAACTTTTAATGGCTTTGATGACAGCTTGATGTACACGATGGCAAAGCTTTTGATGAAGGTATGGTATGTTCGAGTTTAACTAATAAACAAGAAAAATGGTTGTTAAGGATAATCAAGAGAGCCTTGGCCTGTGAAAAGTTGAGATTAAGGAGGATTATGGTGGGAATTCTAGAGATTAAGTTACTATTCTTGATGCAGAGAATGCAGCATCGAATGCAGTACCACAGAATAAAGGTTCGGCGGTCAAGCAAACCCCGAAGGCTGCTAAAGCGTCGCAGAACGCGAAGAAGAGGAAAAAGGCTAAAGATTCATCTGAGTCAGAGGAGGAAGAGGAGGAAAATGAAGATGGCAGCAGCAGCGATGAAGATGAGGCGAATGGGCTGTCGGATTCAAGTGAACAATATGGGAGCAAAAGTAAGGGTAGAGGAAGACCAAAGGGTGGTAAAAACTCATCTGGCGGAGGAAAAGGCAGTGGCCGTGGACGGGGACGCCCCCCGTCAAACAAGAAATCAACGCCTTCTCAAGGAAAAGCGGGAGCAGGTAAGAGAGGTAGACCTCGAAAGACATGAGGACAAGACATCTACCCTTCAAATAGTGTAGGTTTTTATTGGTGATCCTTACTTCAATTCAAGTGAAATCAGCAACTCTGTTACACCAGACTATTCCTGCAATTTTGAGATTATTTCACCACCATTTGTTTTCAATGATATGCTTATCCAGAGATGATGTCACTTACTTACCTAATGACATTGATGATTCAGAACTTCACCTAGTTTTTTTTGAGCTATGAAGGTATATCTGAGTGTAAAAACATTACAACATTCTTAGAGTTAAATGGAAAGCTTCTCTTTCATGTCATTGCCATTAAGTTACCTCACAGAACAGAGCAGCACTCTCAGTACCTATCATCTTGGTTGTAAAACTGGAGGAAGTTTGTGCTGGGACCAATCTGAACAATCCAAGTTTGCTTCTAATGCAAGGAACGGAAGAGAGCGTGTCGGGTGGTTCGTTCTCGATTTCTTCATTCACTCCTACTAACTGAGCTTTACTGGAGAACGGCATGAGATGTGGAGGAGGACCCATCTTGAAGGATCCTAACGTCTCAACCCCCTCTTGTATTACAGAGTTTGTGCATAATATTATTCTCTCTTGTCTTTTCTATCATCTTTCCAGATCATAAAGCCAACGTTCAGAGTAACGTTTTATGTTTGCCATACTGGCAACACTGTCACATTCTCTCAAAAAGGAACCAAAAACTTAACACGCTACACAACAAACCAGTATGGCAACTGGGTTTGGAGTGTATAAAAAGAGCTTCCACGGCATTCAAATTCAAAGTTTTAACATTTGTTTTTGTGTTTTTGTAAGATGGCTCAGATCCTCCGACCGCAGTATCTCTCGAGAGGAAGCCCCTGGGCCTTGTGGGAACGAAGTGGCTTAAACAGGGACATACGATGGTTCCTTGTGGGCGTAGTAATTTCAAAATCAAGGCCAGTTTTAGTACACTCTACAGTTTGAAGGATTCACATGATTCTTGGCAATCAACCCATGTGAGTGTGGCTCCACCAGACATCCCATGGTGGTGAGGTCCTTTGCTCTGTCATATGCTCTTGTTGGTTCTTCAAACATTCTTCGCTAAAACAATTATTGTCTCTCTTGTCACCACCATTTTGCTTCATTTCAACTCCAAATCCTTTATTAAATCCCCCATTTTGCTTCATTAAATAATTTACTAAAATTTATAATGTGAGATCCATATCAATCTGTGAGGAGAACAACGAAACATTTCTTATAAAGGTTTGTAAATCTCTCTCTCTAACAAATACGTTTTTAAAATCTTGATGGGAAGCTCGGAAAGGAAAACCCAAAAAAGATAATATTTACTAGCGGTGAGCTTGGACTATTACTAATGGTATCAGAGCCAGACACCGGATGATGTGCTAACGAGGGTGAGCCTCGTAGGAGTAGTGTGTTAGTAAGGATGCTGGGATCTGAAGGGGGAGGTGGATTGGAGTAGGAAACAAGTGTCAATGAGGACGTTGGGGTCCAAAGAGGGTGTATTGTGAGATCCCACATCAGTTGGGGATGAGAACGAGTGCCAGCAAGGACGCTGGAGTTCGAAGGGGGGTAGATTGGAGGGTCCCACATTGGTTAAGGAAGATAACGAGTGTCAGCGAAGACGCTGGGATTCGAAGGGGGTGAATTGTAAGATCTTACATGGATGGAGAAAGAAACATTGTTCATAAGAGTACGCATTTTAAAAATTTTGAGAAAAAAACTCGAAAGGGAAAGTCCAAGCCCAACTAAGACAATATCTACTAGTAGAGTTGGACTATTACTGATTTTGGATATTTGTACAATTTTTTTTTTTTTGATGTGACAAGAGACATTATGGTTAGATTCGTATATTATGACCATTAATGTCACACACATGTATGTGTGTGGATGCGGTTTGTGGAGTCGTGGGTGATTAATTGGCGTTATTACCGGCTACTGGCTGGTGAGTAGTAGGAAGAGGTTCCCTACCACACCCACATAATTCTAATTTGATGGAAAATATATATATATATAGGGACAACTCATTTATTTCAAAACTTTCCATCTTTAAATTATAATTTAGTTTTTATAATTAAATGTATATTAGAGTTTTAAATGAATTTTTAAAAAATGGACGAAAAAACAATAATTGGTCTCCGAGTAGAGCTACAGCCAGAGCCTCCAATATGAATTACTCGTCTATGTCTGCCAGTGTTTGTTGTCCGTATTATCCTGTCACACATTTCCTGTCTCCTGCATTTCCAATCTTCTCATCTCGCACATGTGGCACTAAATGATTGGTCTCAATCTCAATATTAATTTCCATTATTATTATTTTTTTTTTACTATTTCCCTTTAATATTTAACTATTTATTTTTAGTTTTATTTTTCTCCATCTGAATATGATACAAAATTAATGACATTAATATAGAGATTTCCCGTCCCATCTAATATCTTTTCATTTCTATAGCTTCCCCGTATTATTTAATTCAATTCATTATTTGATTTATTATTGCTCATATTATAGACCCAATAATTTTATCATATAATTGAAACTATGGGAGTATATATATATATATATATATATTGGGGGAAGCATTGGCGGTGGCTCGTATTTTAACCACGTGATATCTCAATAAAATTAATGGAAACGATATTGACTTGGTAAACTAAATATCTCGCGAGTAATTGTCGAGATATTGGAGAGTTGAGTTTTTTTAAAATAATTTTATCTGCAATATTTGAAAGGGTGCAGTGGCCTTTCTTCCCTCGGCTTCCTCACTCTCGTCCTTCTGCAATACGACTTCCGCGGACTTCAAAAGGCTGAATTTTGTCGAATTGGAGTGGCTTTTGAGTTCCGGATTCCTCTTTCTTCCTGCTCTCGATTCTAGTCTAGCGCGGTGTTGGAGGTTCTGTTTTTGGTGTCCTAGATCCGTGAGAGAATCGGGGAAAGCTTGGTAGTGTGAGAAGCTATGGGGAAGTCTACTTCTTGCTTTAAGATAATCGCGTGCGGTGGCGATTCTAGGGAGAAAGATGATAATCATATTTCTGAGGTATTCATCTCATTGCTTTCTGAACTTTCGTATCTCTGTAGTTCGACTTAATGCTCTAAGTTTGGTATACTTAGTAGAAATGGACAATGTGCTTATTCTCATCGAGTTTACTGAGAATTTGTGTTCTACTGCATTAGTTTTGGTAACTTCATGATCGAGTTTGTTTCTCTCATCATTGGAATTGAAAAAGGAATTTCAGTGGAGATTTGCAATGCAATTAGGGGTTTAGGGATTGAGTATTGTGCTTGCTCATCTCTTTTGTTCATTTCTTGCGATATGACCTTGGATCATGTATGGTTGGTCATTTTATCATGTAGCATTTGTATTTTAGGTGATATGGACTTGGTTTGTATTTATGCAGAGTAAGCGTTTGAATGACAAGCAAGGCTGGAGTTTTCGAAAGAGATCGAGCCGGCAACGAGTGCTGAGTAACACTGTGATAGCTGAGATCCCTTCTCCTGGAAATAGAGAGAGCTTTAATAACTTCCAGCAACCAACCAATGGTTGTACATTAGAAAAAGATGCTGGTTTGCAGTGCGCAACCGAGAAACCTCAAATACCGAGTACTGAAAATCTTAAGGAATCTGAAGCTGTTGATGTCATTCAAAAGGAGAGTAAAGTTGATATTGAGCTGGAGGAACGCAGCGCTATTATCATCCAGAGTGTTATTAGAGGGCTGTTGGTGGGTTATATTTTTCTTATGTTTTAGATTAGATATTATAACCCTTCTCTGTCCTTGTCCCTATACTTATTAACTTCTCTTGCAGGCCCGAAGAAAGCTTCTGATGCTGAAGAATGTGGTTAAGTTGCAAGCTGCTATCCGAGGGCACTTGGTTAGGAAACATGCCATTGAAACTCTTCGTTGTATTCAGGCCATTATCAAAATGCAAGCTCTTGTGCGTGCATGTTGTGCCCGTTCGGCAGTTGAACGATCACATACGAAGGATAGCCATAGTTATAAGACCTTGGTAACCCAACTTTACTCAGATTTGATTTTTGACTTTCAAAAATATGCAGACCGTTCTTGGCTTCACATTATCTTATAAATCTATTTTGGATGAAGGCATCGATAACGAAAGAATACTCATGCTGCCTCATCTTTATTTTGTATCTCGTGTTTCAGGAGAAGGAAAAGTTGAGAAAATCAAGTGGGACTTACGTTTCAATTGAGAAACTACTTAGCAATAGCTTCGTTCGGCAGGTATTCTTCTATGTAACTGCGATTTGTTGAGTAAGCACCATGTAAACATTACATACTTACATTCGATAAAACTGATGTGTACTTTATTTGAAGCTGCTTGAGTCTACACCGACCACGAGACCTATCAACGTTAGTTACTGTTGTTCTAAATCTGAGACTACTTGGAAATGGTTGGAGAGATGGACATCTATCTCATCGGTCGATGTTCTGGAGTTAAAGGAAGCAGAGTTCATGACAGGAGAACAAGGAAAAGAGAAGGAAGAAAACGTTCACGCATCTGAAGCTAGTGCTGAGATTGACTCTAATGTTCTTTGCAAGTCAGCTGATTCAAGATCCAGCAATGAGGAATCAGTAGTGCATTCTGAAAGTGAAGATAACTTGATTACTTATGATATGGACAATACAGAGTTTCAGCCATGTCAGGTTACCTCTTCCATGTTGGAGAAGACATGGTTTGAGGACGCAGGTGTCTCAAATGTGAAAGAAACCTTGATGGAAGCAAATTCTCTCCCAGATCAGAGGATGCGATTGGTGGCAGATTCTCAGTTACAGTATAACCCTCATAAAGAGGATCTTGGAACCGAATTCCAGCAAAACAAAACATCGACTGGGACGTTTTCCTCAGATCAACTAGAGCTGAAGGAGAAAAAAACTATCTTTGGTTCAAGAAGGGCAAGTAACCCAGCATTCATTGCTGCCCAATCCAAATTTCAAGAGCTGAGTTCGATGGAAACTTCAGGTAGATCAATCAGTTCATCATATCAAGAAACCGGGGCCGAGTCTTGTATTGGTGCTATCTCATCTGCATCAGCTACTTCTCTAAAGACGGAGGAGGTGTCCACTACAGAGGACTTCATCACAAATGGACCCAGGACTATTCGAGCTGGTGGCTCTGAATGTGGGACCGAGCTTTCTATTACCTCTACTCTTGATTCACCTGATTTATCTGAAGCTGGTGCCTTTGAATATGAGCATGAAACCAATGTAACAGAGATATGTGTCCATGATCAGAGCAGCAATAAGAGCACAGAAATTGACGTGGGTAGTGCTCCCTCCAGTCAAGTGTCAAACTTATTTCAACCTGTTTTGTTGGGGTCTCCAGAAAAGCCTGGTGTTGTCGAATCCATCGATAAAATAACTGTGGACTCTGCTAAAAAAGAAGTTAAGCCAGATGTAAATGCATCAGTTCTGCAGGGAGAACAGGATATTGAAACAGGCAATTGTAGGCTATCCCCATCAGCCTCTCCAAGAAGCCATATTACTATTCTGGAATCCCAAGGAACACCTTCAAGTCAGGTCTCTACAAAATCTAATAAGAGAAAAATAGATATGAGCAGAAGCAATCCGAAGCGCAAGTCCCTCACTGCTGGTAAGAAATCACCCTCGAATCTTCATTGCAACGTTGACTCGCCCAATAACTCGGAACCTTTTCCTAAAGATAAGATTGAAAAGAGGCGCAATTCCTTTAGTTCAGCAAGACCTGATCATATTGAAGAAGAGTCGAGAGAAAGCAGTTCCAATCAATCTCTCCCTCATTTCATGCGAGCTACGGAATCTGCTAGAGCTAAGGTGCAGTTAAATAATTCTCCAAGATCCAGTCCAGATGTCCAAGATGAAGAAATCTACATCAAGAAGCGGCATTCCTTTCCTGTTGCCAATGGAAGGCAGGGGTCACCACGAATCCAACGAACAACGTCTCAAGCACAAAAGAGCGGAAAGGGAAATGGTAAACCTTCTTCTTAAGATTTTTGTTGTTGTTGGTTTATCAGGAAGTTTTCAAAATCACATACAAACACATTTATACATTTATTTTGCTTGTAATATGTAATATTGGTTGCACTAAGTTAAAGATTAGGCAAAAACAAGAGGATAGAGACTTACTGGCTATTGTTGGTATCCTAATTTTCAGAGAGGAAGTGGCAAAGATAGATCATCGGGGCTGCTTTGTGGTCAACATTTTTTGAAGTAATCACAACCTCAGCAACCGACAACATGATGACTGCATTAAATCTGAATGGTGGAATTTGGTTCTTGTTAGCGACCAACATTGTTTTGTTCCTCAACTCTGAAGCTGCGCCGCCCCAAGTAATGTCACCATGGTATTATTCTCATATAGAGTTGGTGAGCATTTGGGGTATATGCGTGGACTTAGGTAAGCTGAAAAAGGGTCTACAAACACCAACATTTTACAGAATATATGATTCATGTTCCTTAAATTACTGCAATTTGTAATGTTTGTTGTAGAAGTTTGTGTACATTGTGATTGATGATCCATTGATGTTCATCACTATTGTTATATTCTTATATAGAAGCTGTTATATTATCCCTATCGCACCTTCAAATCATATTTTTAATGGCTTTTAAACAAAATCCAATTTCCTTCTTAACCTTCTATTAATTTTTCTATTTTCCTCCACTGGTTTGTTGTGTATCTTTTTTTTTTAAAAAAAATAACTTTTAATTATATATATATATATATAGCTCAATAAATAAAATTATCAATTATTAATTTAAAAGTGGAAAATTATTTAAAATTATAGAGATTAATAAACAGAAAAAAGAAAATTAAGCACAAAACTTAATTAAAGGTGTGAAGAGAGGAAGAAAAAGAATTACATTTTCAATTAATTTTTCTCAAGAAACTCTCCGTTTCGGTCATAAACCCCAACTTACTCCCCCCTCCATAGCCTTCTTCTTGCTCGCCCCAATCACTTTTGTTGGAAGGTTGAGGCGAAAGGAATAAGCCGCGATGTTGAAGTTCCTCTCCAAAGTGAAAATCGAATTCAATGCCTTAGATCCACGCTTGGCATCTTGCATGGAATTCTTGGCGCAGTGTAATGCTCGCAAGGCCAAGGAATCGAACCCGGCTTGCCAGTTGATCGTCAAGCGCCGAACCGACGACCACCCGCCCCAGATCGCCGTCACCTTCGTCAATGGAGTCGAAGAGGTTTTCGACGCTACCTCTACTCCTGCTCAAACAATCAGGACTAGGATTCTTGAAAAGGGCCAACTCCTTGAGACCGAGCAAATGTTTCGAGAAGCTGGAGAAACTTGGCCGGTTATTATTCCCGATGAGGAGCTTAATCACCCTCCTCCCAGTATCAAGGTTCGTGCTTTTGTTCTCCCTTGCTGGGAAAATTTCTTTGTCCTCTTCTGCTTGAGTTTCATTTTGGTACTACATGTGGCATTTTGTCGAACAACTTATGTGCACCAAGAGTTTGATGGATTTTCTTTTTTTAGAATGAAGTTTTTGCAACTACAAACATTTATATTTACCATTTCATGTACTTGTCTACTGAATTTCCTGGAAGAATACCCAATGCTTCGCTTCTGCTTTTCAAGAGTTGTGGAGTTTGGCATTATTTTGTGAACCGCACTAGCATTTGAGAAGGACTTAAATTGATGATATGTTTATTGGCACTTGTCCTATGCAGTGCGCTAGCGTTTTGGTATTCATTTGACTCGAATGTTTGCCCTAATTACCTTTGCGCTAGAACATACAGTGTTACAACATGTGTATTGATATGAACTACACTCTACTAGTAACTTACAGATGATTAGTATTCTCGTTTTACTGACTTTTCTGACCCATTGGAAAATCTCTCGTCTTTACGCACCTTGAGTTGTACAGTTAATCTAAGTTTTTCTCCTAGGCCTCACGTAGTAAGTTAATCTAAGTGATCCAAATCTGTGGGAATTGCTTCTTTCCTCTTTTTCCCTGATGATCTTCTGTATTAGGTGTTTGTCTAAAAGCTCCATTTGTGTTAACGGCAACCATTTTCTTGTTATTTGTTTAAAGTGCTAATATATAGTCTTCCAGCTGTGGCTCTGCTTCTGTCATAGTTTCAAGAGACTGTTTGTTGAATGAATCCGCATAATTCACCCTTGAACCAATCAAGCACAAAGGCAAAAGAGGACAGTTAGTTAACCTTTTGCTATGGTGTTTTAGTGGGACAATAGCTCTGAAAAGACAGATGGTCCATCTTTTCTTTAATACCGGTTGTATTGCTAATTCAATCCCTTCGGGTAAAATAAGAACATCCCCACATTCAAACCGCCCCTTTTTCCATTCGCAAGAAGTTTCGGTTGCATATCATAAGGAATTCGAATAACTGCTGCTTCAAATACAAAGGACGCAACAGATGTTCTACAACTTGATGTTGATTTGGTATTCCCATTCTGCAAAATCTCACTAGGGCACTAATTCTTACTTACAAAGCGAGCACATGTTGCAGATTTCTCTTGAAATCATTGAAATCTGCAATATATACTCGTTTCTTATTCGTTTCTTATGCCTTTCTGGAATTGGTGGTAAAAAAGTTCAAATAAATCCAGAATGTGATTATATGGTATGCTTGTGCTTTTGGGCTATTTACAAGCTTTTAGTTAGTTCCTCTCTGTATCATGTGTACTTTTACACACCCAAGTTGGGTGACAAATCTGTTTTCCTGAGCTTGTAAGTTGATCTTTTAGGTTCTTTCATTCGCATGTGTTCCTGCATTTGAATTTCATGTAATCCTAACACCGTGTGCTTCCTGTTGCAGCCAAGAAAAGCGGAAGACAAGCAGTAACACTTTGTCTTAATTGATCAACTTACGGATGTACCTGAAAGAAGAGGGAGTGCATTCTGTCCTCGCACCAAGTTATCAATTTCCGTCAAGTAGTACATGTGCTGCTGGCTCTGAGAGGTTGTTCGTTCTAGGTTTTTTCCTACGGATGTTTACTATTGTTTTCTCCTTCCGCACCAAGTTCTAAACATGGATGCTGTGTTGTTTTTCATGAGCTATTTATTCATATAACAACTTGTTGCTAATACATGCTTTGTGACAAGTTTCCTGATACCCAAATCTCACGCTTTTATAAACAGTGCAAAGTTGTCGAAAATTGAACAATGTTCACAGTAGGTGCCCGATTCTGGAATATCAAACACCAAGATGGAAGAGTTTCTACGATTTTGAAGGAATAGAAATGCAAGATTAAAATCTCTTTTCAAGTTCACGAAGTTGCACAAGGATTTAAGAAACACCTGAAAACATTGATAATCATGGCAAACACTGTTCTCAAAGTCTTCCAGTCCCTCTCAATATTATGGTGTAAGCATAGTAATGGATACAAGCCAGAGACCATAATGCCATCTCACGGCAAAGCATGTGACAGCTTCGCCGAGAAAATAGGCACATAAACATTACACTACATATAGTTTTGCAGTTTATTGATTTCTGTACAGCCACCATCAAGCTACTGACAAATGTAGAGATCATCAAGCAATGATAATGAACAAAAACAACTCATCCTTGTTTTAACGGTCTTCTCGTCGAACTGCATTTGGGTCCGACATCATGTCTAACATCATCTTCTCCGGTGAATCTTCCCAACTCGCAAATGTTTTTAAATCAACCTGCAAAGATTTCAAGGAACCAAATGGATGCTAACTTCAATATTCTGCTCGTTAAAACAATTGAATATTTCGATTAAATCAAATAGTCATTACCCTTCTTCTCTGCTCAGTGAAAAGTTCCTCTCTCCTTTTATACGAATTTTGGATTTCCTTGGCCGCAGAGCCGCCAAATCCCCAAGCTTCCACTTCTAAAATGGAGGCTTCAACAGGCAGGAACCCCTGGGTTTTATTTGAATCATAATTGAAAATTGGTAAGTAGCATGCTTGACTAAGGAATAGACATCTAGTCGATATATTCTCTCATCTTTGAACTATCTATCTGAGGATAAACCATCACAAATAAGAATATCTCAGGCTCACACTCAATGATTCACATTTAGGATAGAATATTATTCCTACCTGATCCGGGAAGAGAGGACCAGGCTGGTAAGTCTTGTCGACCACGTGATGGCGAACAGTAACCCTGGCAAAGTCTTCATCAATAAATATTCTTTCATTTCCAGTAGTTCCCCCAAATGCAATTCCAACGGGCTTCGGATGTGGCTCATAAACCTTTGCAGAGGGATGCAAGTGGCTATAGACAAAGTTCTTTTCCTTCCCTGTAAATAATTATTTGAAGTCAGTCCAAAAAAATATTTGGCAAACAAGAGAACCTGGAAGAACCTCACCACCACATCATCCTACCAGTAGGTGAATAGACATGAAAAACAGGGCTAAGAGCATAGATATTTCCTCCTCCTCCATAGAACTGATCCTTATTTTCAAAACCTTGGAATGTCAGTACACCAACAGTCCATTTCAATTCATTGGTGCTATCGTCACGAGTGTCTACAGATTCAGCATGAACAACCACAAACAAAGGGCCATGGTAGCCTTCGATGTTTGACCAGAATCTATTTAAGCCTCTTCCATGAAGTGACGACCTACAATAAATAGAAGAATACAAATACATCCTTAAATTGCATCATGCATATCTGACATGCATTCTGAAACTGTCGATGGGAAAGAGTGTTTCAACAAACAACAATCCAGGGAAGACTCGAATTCATACCTATAAAGGAGGTGTTCATAATTTCCATCGCCACTGGTTACAAAACATATTTTTGATATCTCTTCCCTTATACAACCTCTTTGTGAAAGGGAAACTGCCCATGCTGTTCCACGGGTGAGAACATAGGAACTTGATGTCTCAGGTGAGGCAATATCTGCAGCTAATGAACTTGATGACTCCACTCCGACCTATCATTGACCAACCAGAAAAGGGAAGGTCAACTAGTGTCCTCCATAGAAAACAATTTATTTTCAAGACACAAGATTTAACAATATCCTTTCTCAAAATACCAATCTTGAAGTGGAAAATATTTACGTTCTACAACTCAGCATGAAATATTAGCCTAAATTCATGTGCTAATAAGTAATAATATATAACCTAGGAACAGTAATCGCATCTAATTTTAAAGAACAATACATCATAATATGTCCTATGAATGAGCATCACATCTAATTTGGAAGGACTAAAAACAGGTCTCTGGAATATAGAGAATAACACCGAAGTTCATTCAAGAGAGATTAGACCTAGATTATAACCTCAAATATGTGCTAATATCAATGAAAGAACAATAACAAACTGAATTTAAAGTCACCAGAACAAGAAGGTAGAAGTAGCGCTAATCAGCCAGGAGCTGCATTGTAAATTGTAAAACAAGACATCATAGAAATATTCAATAATTTTAATGCAATTAATAATAATCGGTGGATGAACACATCTCTATATTGAAGGACATTGATCTCTTTTTTAGTATTATTATTGATTGAATGATATATAATACAGTTGATTGCCTCTTCCTTCGTTAATAAGTTTACAACTCGCTCAATACCAGAGCACCTCTGCAGATAAGTCTGCAGAGATATAACAGATTCTAAAGGCACTTTATCAGAAACCATATTTCAACCTAGTAAAGAAATGTAATACCTTGAAGTGTCAGCCTATGGATTTAAAGCCATTTGACTTAAGAAAGGAATCAGTTACCTCTTGAGTAGGAGCTTGAAGAATTCTTGCATGTACAAAATGTGAAAATCCATCTGGAAGACTAGGAACAGTTTTCACTGCCCAAGGAAGAAATTTTCCAACAGGTACTTCAACTGCCAAACCTAAGATATCGCAGTCCCAAATGCTTACAGTATTGCCAGCTTCAGCACATGATGACACCGATGACAGCACCAGATTATTAATATCCGGCAAAAACAAATTTGAATTTGAACCAAAGACTTTGAAAGTACTAGAATCCCAAGACATGGTCCAACACAACCAAAGAAGCATAAGAATATCACTGGAAAGAAGGAAGCCACTGATCTTAAATTCATCCTCCAGGGAAGTAACCTCCAATTTTGAAGGGAGTCCTGCCTTTACCATCGTAGCATCAAATACCCTAATTAATGTATTAAGCAACACAGATGCAGATATATTTCCACAACATTTGTTGTAGCCCTTGAGAAATTCAACCCAGGTAACTCCTCCTTCCTCTGGAATGAACAATAGTTCAGCTATCGTTGAGCCTATACAGTCTAGGATGGCTGGAAAGGATTCAGGCACCACAGAAGTTTCTTGGGTTCGGTTTTTATAACCTAAAAAGAAGCATTTCTGAAACCAAACTACACGTCAAAAGAAAATTGCAAACATGAAGAATGAACAAATAATTAAAAAAATCAAGTCTCAACCAATGCGGCCATTGTTCATGCTCGACATGTTCTAAGATCTGGAGGGAGGAAGGGAATTAAGGGGTCTAAAATCTAGGGGTAGTTTGTCGGAATTGTTTGTGGAAAACAGTTTTCTAGTTGGTGGAAGCAGATTTCTGTGAAAAAAAAATATGTTTAGAAAACTTTCGCAATAGAATAATTGAAATTGTCTCCCTCCTCAAACCATTGAAATTATGAACAGTGATTTCAAATCTACAATACAATACTTTTACTTTTACTTTTACAGGTCATCCAATATAGTTTAGAATATTGCCTGTAAGGATTCGAAAGGAATTGCACTTGTTTGGAGATCCGCCAGTTTAGAGAATGCACTCTGAAGCTGAGGAAGAGCTCCCGTTGAAGCTGCTAGGGCTTCAGCCTCTTTTTGGTCATCAGGAACCCATTTCTCTGTTGAGGTTGATGCGCCCATTGTTGATCAATAATACTGGGGATTGAACAAATATAATATCCAGTTATTGTCTATTTAACCACTGTATGTACCTGACATAGAAAGAGTCAACTGTGTACCTGCTTATTTTTCTGTACGATATCAAGAATTTAATCATAAACCTATCTCATGAGTGATTGTAAATAAAGTAGCAGCAATTTAAAGTAAGACAATATTGACAATAACGAAACAAAAAACATGTTTTCTAGATAGTGATAAATTGAATAAAATATGGATGATTTAAGGCCATGGATGCAAAATTATAAGTCCAAGAGAAGAATATTAAGAAGGCAAACCAATGTCCATTTCATTTTGATATTCAACGAGTATAAACATCTTACAGAAAAACAAGCTTCATAAAAATCTCATTATGACTTCTGCAACAAGAAGAGGAAAAAAAATGTTTATACACCTCAACATTATCAAGAAAAGTAATAAACCTGCAAATATTGGAAAAACTACAAGGAAGATAATTTGGGAGTTAAATGCTAAAATTCCGAAGGGCAGCATTTCCTTGATAAAAGCAACATCTCTATGCTAAATTAACTGAATCAAGAGAAGAGTGAAGACTAAAAAATCCACTAAATGGGACAAGCATGTTAACGCGATAAATATGTGATATGAAGTACGAGATTGGAAGTAGTCAAGTTGCATCTTTGCCACACAAAGCCAATGATTAGTAGTGGATAGAAAGGATTTCTGCTACAACCAATCACATGATGTCAAGTCACTGCTAGAAGAATACTAATGCAGTCGTAAGAATATAAAATACTGTCACAACTCACAAATATCCTTAATTAGTTTGATAATTACAGATACTTCTTTGGAACTCACAGTTAAAAAATCCTAAATGTATCATCAGAAGTTACAATATCAGACACTGTACTTTAAACATGACAAGGAAGATAAATTAATTAAAAATATAAAAAATAGACCAATTTTTTCCCAAGATGTTCATGTTAACACCAGAAGAAATTACAGCCAATCACTAAGAGACATAATAAATACAAATTAATAAACCAACATCGCAAATACTAAGTAGTCATAGGAATTAAAAGAATAGAGATGTCAAAAATAAAAAAAAGTACAAAAACAGGAGATCGAAATAAAGTAGAGTATAAAAAGAAAAATATATGCTCCAATTCGATACAATCAGACTGTCCATTTCACAATTGGATCCAAAAGAGTTCAAAAATAGGAGATCGAAATAAAGTTAAGTATAGCGCGGATGGAGATGGATCAAGCTAGAGTTCTTTAATCTTCACTAAAAAATGATAAAGAATGTTTTCGTTTCCTTTTTAGCTTCAATGACATAAAGGTTTTTCCATTTCTCTTAGTGTTAGAATGCTTTAAGGTCCAATAGCAGAGTGATTATACCACAGAACGTGATACCAGCCATTACAGCCGTCAATTGAAAAATAAAAAAAATAATAATAAAACAAGAAAGGTACTCGCGCTTCAGATATGTAGCCAAATTTAGAAAAGCAAAGAGAGAAAGATTTGGAATCGGATGAATCTGTCATCTTCCTCCTGAAGAAAGAAACGACCGCCACGATTCAATTAACAACAAAAAGAGCTCATACGAAGAAAACTAATGAACTATGAGAATTTAACTTCAACCGAGCAACACATTTCAGAAACTCAAAGCGAGAAGAGATGCAAGAGTAATATGATACAAATGATAAAAGACTCGGAAGGAAGAAAGGAGGATTAGATAAGTCAGAGGAGTAAACCTGACGGGGAGAAATTGAGCAGTATGCGAATCTTATCTCTGCTGCCGTGGACGCAAGTATCCTTCAATCTAATGAAATGCTGTAAGTTGAGTGCACCATCAAGGACTTGAGAGCGATGGCTTCTTCATCTGACGAAAAGGCACCGTTCACTGATCCACCTTAGCGTCTTGTTCCTTCCTTCGATTCATTTCTTTATCAATTACCGGTAAACTGGAATCGATGTAAGACGTGGCACCGCGTAAGGCTTCTGGATTCTACGTGCACTGTAACAAGGGAAAGACATTGGGATTGAACGAAAAAAAACTATTATTTTCCTTTCGTTTTCTTTGATTAGGTTCGATTCAACAACAATAGGACATAATTGTAATATTACTTTTTGTGATTAAAAAAAATAATAAGGATTATGATTTAAATGCCAAATGTACCCTTTTTTAAGCCATAAAATGTAAATTGATGATTTATTTAATATATATTAGAATAATAGATATGATAATATTACAACTTTAGCCCATGTAGGGAGGTTATTTAACAAAATTACCCTCCATTAATTTGAGCTCGATATTCGGGTACACGTCAGCCTTGACAGGTGCTACGGATCCGAAATTGCAGAGGAAATTAGGGCTTTTTATGATCCAGGTGGGAAAGAGGAACTCGTGGCACTCGAAGGAGACGAATCCGAGCATTTCTGCGTTGAGATTGATATCATCATTTACATCTAATGGCGCCCCCTCCTGGCCCTTACTCCGGCACCAGCACTCTCGCACTGGTATATGCCTTTTCTTTAGCCTATAATCATCTGCTTAACTACGTTATTTCTTATTTCCGATTTGTATTTACTTCGATCCCTCTCATGTGCTGTATCCACCCTTTTTCTCGGAAGTTACAGCGATAATTGAATGCATTTAGATTTGTTCGTTTAGAATTCTCTATCGTGTGATAATTGGTGCGAGTGGATATCTGCGATTGAACTTTTTTATGTTCTTCGTTGTATTTCTTCATTATCATTTTTAAGTCCTTTCTTGGGTCGGTTCATTTTAGATTCTAAAACTTTTTTTTTATGTGCCAATTTTTTTGGGTATTGATTTACACAGGTAGCTCGTGCATCAACATTCACCTTTGGTTTGGTTTACGGAAGCATTAAACTCAAGGTTCTGAAGGTAAATTGGAATCAACTGTTTTTCCAGCCTTTCCTGTTTGTAAATTCATTGAAATGGTTATTTTTGTTGTGCATGGGTTTGATTGTTTGGTGTCTCTGTCTAGGAATCAATTCCATGTTTATTGCAAGTTTGTAAATATTATTGTGACCCTTTCACTCGTTCATTCATATGAATTCAACGTTATCACCAGATTTCATGTAATCTGTTTATTTGATGGTTTTTAACTTGTTTTCTTTTGGAGAACAGATTTCTTCGCTGCCATGATTTCCGTCGGCATTTCTAGTTTAAGAAGTCTTGCTGGAAATCACGACCCAAATTTGAAAAGAATTTTTTTTTTTTTAAGAACATTGGTTGTGTAGTTAGAAACATTTAGCTAAGAACATTGGTTCTGGTTTCGCCAACTACCGTGCTATGTTATTTGTTTTGGTTAAGACAAAAATTAGGCACGCATGCTCATGAATCATAGACCGTCTTATGTCCCTTATTCAGTTATCTGTATAGAATATGAATGCAATTGTCTAAGAACGTATCTTTTGGTTGTATTCTTGTGCCCTTGCCAGGCAAAGGCCAAGTCTCATGCGAAAGCTGCAGCCAAAGCCCATCATTGATGAACGCATTTACTAATGTAGCTTGTAGCAATGGAAGAGATGGAAATTACAGCATAGGCAGAGATTCTGATCGTTGATTGGAGAAATGTGATTTTTGGCTTGATATATATTAGATTCTGGTTTTTACTGCTGGAAGAAAATAATTTTTTTTGTTTAAACGATGTTGGTATTGCAAATGATGCATGGTGTATGTTTAATTGTTCAGTTCGAATGGCAAATCTGCCAATGAGATGGATGTTCTTGAAATAAAAGTCATACATCATCCTGATAAATAGACTCGTTTGAGATTTGGCTATCTCAATATCACTCTACTTTCACTTTCAAGTTTCAACTTATGAATGGATTTGATCTCTCTTTTCTCAAGGGTCGTGTTCTAAGAAAGGTTTGCAAACATGCTCATAGGTTCTCGAAAATAGATATTTGGCTAGGGAGAAACTAGAATGTGGCTGGCCTATGTTCAATTCCTAATCTAACATAAAGTTGAGCATTTAGTTTAAAGAGGATCATAATTAAACTAGGAGTTCAAGCTTGGAAAAACTAGGCAGTGTATGAGGAAAAAACTCTAGATATAATATCTACTATAAAGTCTCTAGACAATGGAAATATGCAAATGAAAGACAGGCAATAAAGATATGGATACCCAGTTGAAAGTCATATGGGTATCATTCTAAATTTGGGGCGGGGCCATGGCTAGTGGCTGCAGAAGAGCTAAATTGTTGAAGATTAGAAAGGCTTCGTCTTTTTTTTTTTTTTTTTTTTTGGGTCTACCGAGTTCAGAAAGAGTACAATTTCGCAGGAACTGAATCTACTTCAACTAGAGCGCTTGGCAAATGTCCCTTAATGATAAATATAGGCAACTAACAATCACACTTGCAACAAGGTGAAAGCTTTATGCTAACAATTATCCTTACTGCTTTAGCCTGTGTCAGCAATTATAATAAACTTGATTCTCAACTAACAAAGCAGAAGAATCGACCTTCTTCGACGACTGGTTCAACTGAACCAAGTTTTAAGCTCGGCCACCTTCTGATATGGAGCAATTCATGCCTTGCATCATAGCACTGTTGAGAAGCTTCATTCCCTCTTCACTCATTTGCTGAACTTCTGAAGGTGACAAGATTCTGATGCACCGTACGCAGCTAACAAATTCCCTGCAGAAAAATCCCCATCACTTTGGTTGCTTCACATGCAATTCAGGAAACAAACATGGGGCTTAAAGTAACAAAAGAACAGAACTTACTCCCAGGGATCATCGCCAATAAGCAGCACGTCGTTCTCATAATCCACATAAACCAGTTTCCATCCTGAGCCTCTTGGGTCATTAAGCAACCCTTCAAGTCCAAACATACACTCTATAGCAGAGCACAGTTCTTCGTAGTTCTTAAAACTTGTCACATCAATAGACCTACCAACTGATCCCGCCTTCTGGACCTGTAATCACATAGCAGCTAGTCATTGGGTTGATATCCATACCATACAGTAGGGAAAATAATTAGCAGAAAACCCACAGATTCCTACCTTGGTGTAAGTCCTCATGGGCGGTACCACTTGTTTCCACGAGCCATTCTGCAGAAGATTGCCTTCATCAAAATCCACATTGCAAGAGGATGTACCACCCGAATTATCATGGAACTCTTGCCTGGAGAAAGCCTGAGAATCTCCCAAACTGGCAGAGGTGATCTGAGACTGAACATCTTGGCTCGAACTGAAGTTCCCAGCCAAGCAATCTGAAGGATGTGGGAAGTCAGCATCTTTGAGTGTGCAATAATCATCAAGAATGGTACTCGAAACAGCAGGATCAACCAAAGTATTTCCAGCATTACTGATTTCAAGGTTAGAACAACAATATATCCCACTCTGGTTGTTGCTCTCATCGGAAACATCTCTCGTAACATTTGCATTAGCCATGCAGTTCAGGTTAGATGCATCGGGATGGGAGAACGAGACGAGGTGATTGTTTTGAGAAGAGAACCTTATATTACTAAGAGGATCCCACATCTCTTGACCTGTAGAGGGTATAGGAAAATTAAGAGCCTCAGAGAACACTGTTGAGGAGTCTTGCAATCCCAACATAGAGAGATTCCCTGGTGATCTCATTACACCAGAAAGAGGTAGACAAGTAGGGTTAATCAAGCATCCATCGCCATCCATGGATGAAATCAAACCATTTGAATTGGGAAATTCAGGCTGAGGCATGTCAATTGGTTGGGGATGTTGGATTAGTGATTCCAGCTGAGGCTGCAAGGGCCAGGATGATACGGATTGCAACTGCATGGGGATCTGATTCTGGTTCACAAATGAAAGCTGGTTTACAAGCGTCTGCATATTCACTTCATTACCAGTGAGTTTATCCTCCCCACAATCAACCGGCGGCAATGGATTAGACTGACAGGTTGAATGTTCACGTTCATATTTGGACTTATCTACCTCAGCTCCAGTTGGAGCTTCACTTTCAATGGCCGCCGAATCCTGTACTTTTCCTGGTTCATTTGCTTTAGGTGATGAATTTGAGTTAATGGGATCAGTAGATGGCGAAGGAGCTGGCTGATGATGATTTTGATGCCGAGGAGACGACAATGTAACCTGCTGCTGCTGCATTTTGGGATTGGTTACTGGCTGCATACCCCCCATCATGTCCTGCTGTAAAGTGGTGCCGTGAAGGTTAACCAGTTGAGGCCTCAGTAGCATCTTCATCAGTGGTTCGGAGCATAAAGTTGGCGCATATGAAACATTTTCAGGAACACGAAGCATTGGTCTCTTCACCAGACTTCCCCAATCAGTTTCTCCTGCTAACATGAAAGAACCCCATTTTTAAAAAACATGTAATTCTGAGAACTAGTATGTTTAGTGGAAGCCGCAGAAAGGATCAAATCTTACCCAAGAACCCACCGTGTAATGGGCGTTTAAGACCCGAAGTCAGAGAAGGAAAAATGAAGAGACTTTCTGGGGTTTCTATGTCCCATGAACTAACCCTGTTCTGCTTGTCGCAGCACCCTGGCTCATCCCACTCCACCTGTGACAGAATTATCAGAGTGGCGGCGGCGAAACATGCCAGTGAATACTGGTAATCAGTAATAGCTCACCTGGAGATTTCGCCACTTGGAACCTGGCCACCTAAGTGGATCTAAGTCGCTAATTCCAACAATTGTTCCCATGTATCTGCGCCAAGAATACAATATGGTAAGAAAATCCCAGATCATATATTTTGACAAAATTTATGAACTTGTAATTAAACTCACCGGCGTTTACCGGACTCTTCTGTTTCAAACATCATCCCAAACCTCATGCCTGCAGAAAGCTGAGTTCCGTATACACATTTGCGATACTTGGCTAAGGGAATAACAAACTCTGAAGGACATGCTCTACGGGAAAAAAAAAAAAAAAAAAAAAAAAAAAAAAAGCGTAGAAAGTATGTCAAAGGTGACCAAAAAGTTGGGAGAATCTAAAGGTGAACCATTTGAAAGATAATAGAACCTGGGGTTGTAGAAGATTGTGAATGGACTCCGATTAGCAGCAGCATGAGCTGCAGCAGCAAGAACCCCTATGTGCATACTATCAGCAGATA